CGCCCGCTCTCAGCGGCCCGCTCAGCAGGAACAAGGCTCCAGCCCAACTCGGGCAGGTTCGCGAGGCGGCGGCGGCAGCGGCCGCGATAGCTTCTCCGAGCCCCGCGCCCGACCCCAGAGCGCGGAAGCCCAGGTCCGAGCGCCCCCGCCGGCGCCGCCCGGAAGTGCGGGGGCGGGGCCGCGGCGTGGGGGCGGGGAACAGGAAAGCGATGGGGCGTGGCCTCGAGAGTGGGACAGGGCTACGGCGTGGGCGGGGCCGCGTCCGCCAAGGTGGGGTGAGATCCGAACGCTGTTTGCGGACTTCCACGCGCGCGTGCGTCAGATCCTAGTGCCAGAGGATAGTACCACTGGGAGGGACCCTAGGTCTGCAGCCATCAAAGAGCGCTGGGCTGGCGCACCGACTGGACGGGCGCCCCGATCCCTGAATGTTCACCGGCCTTCCACCCCTGAGCAACCGGGTGAGGGCAGGGTGACCTGAGGCAGGGTCTTCCTGCCTGGTCGGCTCTGAACCGGAGCCTTTCGCCCATCGCTGCGCACCGCAGGGCAGAGACAGATGTCCCAGGGATTGTAGTGTCGGTAGGCAGAACCAGGCTTATCAGGAGCTGAACTGGTGGTGATGTGCAGCCCCTCACTTTCTTACTACCGCTGTCTCCAGCTGCCCAGGTGGACCCTGAGAAGGTGGGCTGGGGGTCTGCTCTAAGCAGTAGGGACCCAAACTGGACCAGGGCATATAGCAGGCATCCAATAAATGCTGGCTGCCACCTGGGCAGGAGCCAGTCTCCAGAGCTGTGGGCTGGGGCTGGCCAAGACCCTACTGAGATGCATGTCCTTCCTCCTTGATTTCTCTCAGGCACCATCCAGGATCCAGTCCAGGGCTTTCCTTCCCACCCCTGCCCAATGGTCACACTATCCCAGGCCAGCCCGAGAGGTAAGGCTTTGCATGTCCTGACCCCATAGGCCAATCCATGTAACCCATCTTCCACAGGCTGCAGAAGACAAGGGCCACTGCTCCAGGCACCCAAGGGCAAAAGAGACACACAGCCCTACCTTGTAGCAGCCCTTACACCCTACTCTGGCCAGCGCCACCTTGCCAGAACCAGCACTGCTTATGATTTGGTTTTGTTTTTTTTTCTTTGTCTTTTTGAGACAGGCTCTGACTATGCAGTTCAGGCTGGACTTGAGCTCACTTTGTAGCCCAGGCTGGCCTCAGACTTGCAATGATCCTCCTGCCTCAGCCTCCCAAGTGCTGGGATTACAGGTGTGTGCCACCATGCCGTGGCTCACTAGCACTGCTTATGATTTAAGGGCCCTGCCCAGGACTCAGTCTCTATCAGCTGCTCCCCAAAGAAAAGGAAATGTGCACCAGGAATCAATGTTCCTGAACACCTCATGTACCACGTCATGACAGCCCATGACTCTATCCTCACACCTTGGGTAGCCTCCCTTTTACAGACAGGAGGGTCACCTCCTGCTGCCCAGGGTTCCCAGCACCCCTTCCATCTGACACCTTAGTGACTACCCTCCCCTGGAGTGCCCTCTGTTTTAAGCCTCCCAGGGATCCCTGGTGCCTACATTCTTTCAGGACTCTTCTTGGTGGTATTTCTCCCATATCACCTACCCTTGATGTATCTGGTCACTTGCTCCATTATGATGCCCCTCCAAGTCACTTCTAATGTCACCATCACCATCTAATGTCACCATCTATTGCCGGACGTTGCTCACCCTTGATGTCCAGCCCTTCATCCTTCATATCTCCCAGGCAAGTGCAAGTCCTCGGTTGGGGCTCCAGAGCTAGCAGCTCACCTCCTACCCAGCTGTATACCAGTGGCACTTGCCTGGGGTGAGCCTCTCCAGGGACTCAGTATAGCACTGGATGCCCAGGGTTGCTTGTGGAGGAAAGGAACAGCATCTCCTGGGCATCCCGGTCTGCCTTGCAGCAGGGGTTAGGGTGATGTATGAAGCCAGTATGAGTCCCACCAGATCCTAGCAGCAGGTATCACACTCACCTATGTCCATTAAGAACAGCCCCAAGTCCCAAAGTTCTGGTGCTGAGACTTCTTTGCAGCCCTCCCCCAACCCATTCAGCCTCAGAGCATTAGAAGAGATAGTGGGTGGCCCCTGAGTGGGTAGTAGGTAGCCCTCAGCACAAAGGGCCTCCATAAGATGAAGGAGGGCTGGAGAGAAAGCAGAACCCTTAGGCATTAGCCTTTGGGCTACCTCCCCACTCCCAATCTCTGGCCCAAATGCTTGCCTTGGTTCTGCAGAGCTGCTGCCATGGCCAGGCCAGGCTCTTGGGGTCAAGTCCATGTCCATCCTTCTCCTGGCCCAGGGTGGTGGGTGTCCCCAAGTTCTGGGACCAGAACAGGACCCTCCAGCCTCTGTCTTCTCCAGGCCTCTGCCCTGTAGGGACAGGAAGGGAGTCAGGAAGCCTGGAGGAAATGTGCAACCCTGCTCAGGTGTGTTGTAGTGTAGGTGTGGGGGAAGTGTCCAAGTTGGGAGGAGAGTTTTGCAGGACCAGAGGAAGAAGCTCAGGAGGCTTCCACCCAGGCCCAGAGTAGAGAGAAATTGAAGAAAAGAGAGCAGGCAGGGAGGGCAGCACTCAGTGGGAGGAAGAAGGCTTGCTTGCTTCTGAGATTGGAGATTGCACCTTTCTTCCACTACACAGGGTCCTTTAAGATGTAAAAGCCCTTCAGTAGGAGCAGGAATTTGCTACCAAAGGCTTTGATTTGATTAACTTCTGTGACGTTTATTCAGGCTTTCTTCTCAAGAACCAAAGGAAAAATTTAAGAGCAGAAATGAAATCATTTTCTTCAATCCAGACATAAAAAGAATACTTTGAAATAAAGTGAGCTTTGAAGCCTTACATGTATTTGTCCACTTGATTCTGGAAGACCACTTATAAAAAGTGATACAAAGGAAATCATCCAGGAGGCACCCTGCCATGTGCTAAGCAGGGTACAGCAGGCAATACACATGCAGAAAACCACAGAAGAGGGCTAGCTACAGAGAAGGAACAACATCGTTCATGCACCAGCTCAGGAAGGTAAACATGAGGAAGGACAGTTCTGAGCCCAGATTTTGGAGGAGGGAAATCCTAGGCCCAGCTACTTCTTGTCTGTCCATTCCCTGCCCCCTCTGCCTAGTCTACAGGCGTGGGAGGTAAGGGTAGCAGGAGGTATGGGAAGGCAGGACTTAGAGGTTTCACATAGCTTTCTTTGCAGTTCTACAGTTGGGCAGCAGTCTGAACCCAGAACAGTTCAAAATGTTCACGAGGGAGGATTTGAGTGGTCTAGATCTGGTGAGTGAGGATAGGATAACCCTGCCAGCCCATAAGTCAGCCTCTGACTCCCCTCTCATCCCTAAGTCTTTGTTCTCCATCAGTTCTGAGCTAGGAAAGGCCAACAGGCTCCTTGGTGCCCACGTTCTTTTGGGACTCTTCCTGGTAGGACTTCCCCCATACCACATGGAAGCAGCACCACAGAGACATCAGCAAGGCCCCACATAGGTGCCAGCTTCTGTGAAAACAGAATACATGCCTATAGAGGACTATGAGCCTATGCCAGAGTACTTTACAGGTCCTGTGGAGAGCTACATTATGAATGGGTCCCTTTTACTTCTTTATGTTTCAGGGATGTTCTGTAGCCCTCACATGGAAGCCACAGGCCTCTCTGGCAACCACCATCTTCCCACCAGTGTCAGTATAACACGAGTGACACAGCAGCAAATGTGAAGAATGTGGGGCAGAGCTGACCCATGGCAGCATCCAGCAGTGTGGCAGCCCTATTCTGTGACTGCCACATCACCCCCATTGGCCTGGGGATTGTAAGAAGGTGCAGACACCTTCCTGAGAGATACTTTGGGATCAGTTGGAAGTCTAGTGCCCTTGGAGCAAGGGAACTCTGCTCACTCTCAGCAGGGGCCTCTCTGAGCCCCAAGTCTGTGTCTGGTGTACCCCTTGATAGGTCCTGCTTCCTCTTGGCCTCACTCCTGTGTACCAAGTGTGTCTTCAGGCTGCCATTCTGTGTTACTCTTGCTGTTTGGAGTTCTCTCAACCCTCTTGCCACTGAAGTTGTCTCAATGCCAACCCAAGGAATTGGAGGCATGAGCAAGGCTTTGTCTCAAACAACTCTATGTCAGCCAAGGTGAATGCTTCATAGATAATGCCTGACATGACTGCCACTATACCAATGGGTGGCCCTGATGGCTCTTACTCCCAGGACAGATCTCAACTAGTTCTCCCTTTCTGGGGTAAGGAAGACCACTCACGGAGGGCCATACAGTGAGTCATTCAGCCTTGCTGGTATGGGTTCTTCAGATCAGGTGCTGTGGTCACTGCATTCCCCCTCTGGATTAGTGTCTAGGGTTACTGTCTGTTCTGGGCACTAGTTGGCTGGTATATGTGTGTCCTCCAGGGGGACCACTCACATCCATGTCCCCTGCACCCAACACACCTGTCACAGCACCCTTGTCCCTGCCAACCCCCAGCAGTCATGAGCCAGGCCCCCATGTATCTCAGGGGTAGAACACTTGTCTAGTATATGTGGAGCCCTAGTTCTATCCCCAGTACTGAAACAAACAAAGCCAGATCCCCAAGGTTAACAGGAAAGCAGTGACAATTGGTCAGCCCACAAGGGTTGGGCTGAGCCAACTCTCTACTGTGATGGCCCCACAGCTCCCTCCCAGGGTACCATCCACACCCTCCAACTAAGACCTGGCCCCTGCTGTGCTAAAGGGGAGTCCTCCTCACACTGTCTTTAAAAGGTTTTGACCCTAGGGAAATGTCTTTGTCCAGGAGCTGGGGTAAGGTGGGGCACCAAGAAACAGTTAAGTAGGGTCAGGGCCAACAGGTGGGCATGAATAGCACTAGGTCCAGGATAGCATTTGTCCACTACCCCAGCCCCAGTGGCCTAGGAAGAAGAAGGGAAGAGTAGCCTGCCTCCATTCTAGCATCTCTTCAACTCAGGAACCTCAGATGTGCCAGGGCTGGCCTGCAACCCTGGAGACTTGAGTGGCTTCCTGTCTGGATGAGCCAGGGACCTCTCCAAGCCAGAGTATGCCTGTTGTCCAAGAGAGGGTCCTGATCTGCTTCACAGCCTCAGAGAACCATTTGCTACTTTCCAGGAACAGGCGAGGGCAGTTGGATGGAGCACATGGCCAGCCGGGCTGTGGCTCAGGTATGGTGTCTGAGCCATGTCTCTAGAAGAGGCAAAGGCCTGCTGGCCTGCCCCAACTCCATCATCATCTTCCAGAAAAGGTGATATCCTTGTGTGTGTGTGTGTGTGTGTGTGTGTGTGTGTGTGCGCGCGCGTGCATGTCGGGGGGTATATCTTGAGGGCCTCAGCAAGAAAAGCCACATCTCCCTGCAGGCCACTTCCTGTTTTCCTCTTGGGGACACCTGCCCCCCTACTGCACGTACCTGTGCTTTCCCATTGCTCCTTCCATTGGGTATGTAGCCCCATCCTGACAGCTTCATCCCCACAACTTCTCTAGGTAGTAGATACCCTTGGTTGGTTATCATTTTTCCTTACTCCTGACTCATCTCAGTGATCTCCCCAAAATCTCCACAGTCCCGAAACCCAATAGCCATCACTCAGTGGCCAGGGGACATCTTGACAGGGAGGTGAGGAATATGGTGCCCAGGTAGGTCAGCTGCCCACATCCCTCCCTCTGCCATCTTCCACACTGCTGTCTTGAGATGTCTTTCTCCGCTGCCTAGGAGCCCAGTGGCAGTGAGGCCAAGTTCTAAGTATGCGATTATGTATGCTGGGGTCCCTTTGGCCCCTTTGTTGCTGCAGAATCTGTCGTGGCAAACAAAAGTGCACTGGATTAGCCACAGTGGATTAAAAGATTTGCTTCTCAGAGCTTACCTAATAACCTAACAATCACATCGACAGCAGCTTTGAACCCCCAGGACGTGCCTGCCAGACCAGCTGAGAACCAAAGGCCTCTGTGGGCAGTAGGACCGTGGTCAATGGTCACACACACAGCCCTGGGCCACCTTACATCCAGCTCTCCCCACAGCTAGGCCTGTGTTCATGGGCCCCTCAGTGCAGAAGTTGGGGAAGGGACTGGACACTAGTAGAAAGTGAATGCTCAAGTGGGGGTCTAGGCACAGCCAGAATGCCTTTCAGAGGGTGTGGCTATCAGGTACCAGGCCTTGCCTGTGCCTGGCTGGGCCCCCTGGATGAATCCATGCATATCATACACAGCAGCAACAACATGAGCAACAGGAAGGGTAGCCACAGCGGGCAGGGAACACACCGGGCCCACTGCTGTGGTGCTCAGCCCCTCCGCTGTCACCCCACAGCACATACTTCTGCCCCACACATGCACACGCACACATGTGCATGCGCACGCACACACACACAAGCATGCCTTCCTTTGATCTCCAAAGGGGACCCCATTGACAGGCTCTTAATCGCAGCTGCTAGCAGGGCCTGTGCTCTGATGTCCCGAGTAATGGGATTTGGTGTTTCTGATCCATCTGGGCTGGCCGCTCCCTGATTATAGGTGGACATTTTTTTCTTTCTATCGCTTCTTTTTCTTTTTTTTTATCCTTGAAAACAACAAAAAAGCTCCTTAAACCATGCCGACTTGACACGGCTTTTCACGGAGCCCAGGGATGTTGGCCAGGACACAGAGGGCCCAGGCCAGTCAGGGGTCTTTGATGCCGCCTCTGTGTGAAATCTGACATGGGAGACATACCAGGGCGGTTTTCGGGTCTGTGGGGCGCTGGGGTTCATTCCACCTCATGCTCTTTCCTTTGTCTCTTCCCCTGACCCTTCCTTGGATCATGTTGGGACAGGGTCCGAGGGTGAGGGTGTGGGTGGGTGTGTGTGTGTGCATGCACCTGAGGGTGGGGTGGGCCCTAGGCAGAGCCGCAGCCACGAGAACAATGGGCTGCAAGGACTACATAGTCCACCTGTCCCCCTGTCCATCCTTATGTCCACCCGCCTGGCTTACCTCACCTGCCTGGCTCCGTGTGCCTGCTCGCGCCCCACCATCCCGCTGTCCGCCATGATGGGCTTGGCCGTCCGTCGGAGCACTTTCAGCCACTCCAGGAAGCCGGTCCCTGCTCTTGGCCACTGTGTGGCTGGGAGGCAGAAGCGTGACTCTAGGCTGCAGCTCGGGTTCCCGCCGCCGATTGGCTGAGGCAGGGACCAGATGACGGGCCTCAGAACCTTATGGTAGCCATGGCAACCAGCCCCTTTAGACACCGCCACCCCCGAGCCACTCCTGACTGCTGAGGGAACAGGCGGCACCGCCAGTGGGCCCGTGCCAAGGTCCTCACCGAGAGGTGATTGGGTGTGGCTGTATAGTAGATGCTCCCACACCAGCTATGAAGCATTTTCATGTGTGTTCACTTATATTGGATGTTAAGGGGGTTTCTGTCCCTCTCATAGCCTGTCCCAGGCCCCTCTGTGCCCTGCTTGACCCCCTGGCAAAGGTACAAGTGACCTTGCAGTCCCTTTGGAGCCCCTACTGAGAGAAGGACTTCAGGTCAGGCTTGCCCCAGGGGCTGAAGTCCAGGCCCAGTCTGGCAAGAAAACAATGAGTAGGTGGGGGCATTGGGAAGAAAAAGGAGTGAGAACTCCCCACCCAAGGTAAGCAAAGCCAAGCTCCTCCCTTACCTCAGATGGCAAAATGCCTGCAGCTTCATCTCTGCTCACAAACTACACCACTCACTCCGGCCACTGCCTGTTGAACACATGGATCTGCTCTGAGGATTTCCCCCTGGATAGCCATCTAAGGGCCTGGGAAGGCCCAGCTTCCTAAGGACCTTGTGTACTGGCAGAATTCTGGGAACCCAGTCCACATTCTGTAACACATCTGACTTTGCACCTGCTCTCCCCTTGGATGCAGCGCCCTCTTGCGCACAAATAACGCCTCTCCACCCTCAGTCCTCAATGAGGCAAGAGCAGATGTGTCCCCCTCCATGGACTGACCATCCTGGGCATTTAAGGATATCAGCACCCTTGAAGCCATCTCCGTCACAGCCAGGAGCAGCCTGGGCTGTCCAATGTCCCCAGGAGCAACACTGCCAGGTCAAGGGCCCTCTGAAGACCTTGAGAGAGCCCTGGAAACCCATATCCCTCCTCTAGGCTACCTCCTGGCCCAGGCCCTGGATCATAGCTGCAGAGAATACAGCAGAGCTCAGGGCTGAGGTGTGACACTCAGGCTCCTGGGAAGGGGTTAGAGCTGCAGCTGGCCCTGGGGGGCCAAGCAGCCACTGAAGTCCCTACCAAGGCCAGAGGGACTGGGGTGAATCTCCATAGGTCCAGGAGGTTTTCATATCCAGGGAAGCAGCCTGAGAGGTGGGCTGGTCGCACAGAACTAGGCTTGGGATGAGCCCAGCCACAGGCGGTTTGGAGCTATGGCTGATCTCAGAGCCACCGGGCTCAGGCTGCCTGAGTAGCCCTCTGGACTTGGCTCTAGATTTCCTCATTATCACCCTGGTCCCAGTCTGAGCTTCCCCTTCACAAGATGGAGCCCTAGCCTCGAAGTGACTCCCCTTGCTATGCTGGAAGCCACCAGCAGACAGTCCAGTCCAAGAGTGATGCATGGATAAAGATGCTGCCCAGGGTCAGTTGATGGTGTGGTCAGGGAGAAGAGACCATTCTGGGACATGGGGTGAGCTTGAGGATGCTGGGGTGTGCCATGTTAGAGGAAGCTGGAATGTTATAGGCCCAGGCCTCAAGTGAGGATGGTTGAGGGACTGAAGAAAGCCTAGGAGTCCACACAGCTTAGCCCCATCTGGAACCAGTGGAAAGCTACAGTTGTCAGTAGGTGTGGTGATGGTACAGGTGAAGGGAGGCCAACAAAGAACATGGGTGTGAGCCTGGCAGTGGCAGGCTAAGCAGGAGCCACGGTACCCAGGTAACCCAGTAGGAGCTGCCTGCTCTTCCCACCACCATCCAGCCACTGAGCACCTGAGCAGGGTTCAACAGGTAGGTGAGACCAGCAAGGTGAGAATTTGGGCACAGGATTCCAACTGGGTCACAAGCTGCCTCACAGCCACCCCATCCCACAATGGGTATGGCCCTTCCTGGCCCTGGTTATCTCATCTCAGATTGGACAATGTCAACTCTTCCCAAGTTTCTACTGCTTATACCTAAGGAACTCATCATACCCAGCTATAGCAGCAGTAACAGTCTACCCTTACTTCTACCTTCTCCTCCACAGCCCAGGTACAGCCCCCTCAACACTAAGGCTAACCTTGGGCTGTTGTCATGAACACACATGGCTTCAGCCAATCCTTGGTATACAGTCAGTTGGGGGAAATCTCTTGGTCCCTGAGCTGCTCAGACCCAGCTGAATAGGGCAAGGTGTGGGCCAGCACAGGGCAGCTCTGCCTTTTGTAGGTGTGACCTTGATCGGTGCAGGCTCCCCACACAGGATGTATAGTTCCCAGCACAAAGTGAGTACCTAACATAGCTCAGATGGCCAGACCTGGCCAGGGCCTACAGGGTATAGAAGTAACACATAGAGAGCAGGGAAATACAGAGAAATACAGACCACCCTCCTCACAGCTGGTGCCCAGTCCCATGTATAAACACATGTGGCCATGAACCTGTATCTGTGTGCATGTGTGTGACTGAGCGTATACATTCCCTGCATTCCCACATCTTAGAGGCAGAATGTTAGGGCAGATAGACAGCCTATTGCAGACTTGGATTACTGCTTTATTTCTGGTGTCAGGGGGTAGATCTGTCATTCCCTGAGGACCATCATCATTTTCTGATCAAGGGCATTTGTGAGAATTTGATGAAACTGATGTGGTCTCCCTCAGAAAAGGGCTATTTTGCCAGGGGCCTCCCCGCAAAAAGGACTATTTTGCTAGTGGTGCAGGCCTGAAATCCCAGCACTTGAGAGGCTAAGGTGGGAGGATTACTGTGAATTTAAGGCAAGCCTGAAATACATAAAGAAACCCTGTCTCAAAAAAATAGAAGAAAAGAAAAGAAAAGAAAAGAAAAGAAAAGAAAAGAAAAGAAAAGAAAAGAAAAAGAAAAGAAAAAGAAAAAAAAAAGAAAAAAAGAGCTATTTCTGGATTCATGTCCAAAGGCACATCCAGAGTCTGCCTCAAACCACCTCAGGCTCCAGGGGAGATAATCAGCAGTAACTTTCTGAGGTCACAGGACTCCTACCAGCAGCCATACCAACGGCCACCAGGTGCCCATCTAGAATCACAACCCAAGAGTCAGCAACAGAAGGATGTACACCCCAGACACATCAACTGCATAGAATCCTCCCAGTGGAAAAACAAACATCAAACTGAACCTCAGTCTCCACACACATGGAGATGGCAGCTGGAGCCAGAGTGTGCATACTCCCCACACTGGATCTCTGTCAGGCTGGGAACAACTGGGCCAGGACCTCTGGACAGAACTCTAGTCCTCCAACCAAAGGAACACACATACTGCCTGGCTCAGACTTTACTTGCTCCCAGACCCACAGGGACAATAAATGCTATGTGGTGTTTGCCCCAGTCTGGGCAAGGCCTCTGCTTAGTACCAGGCCTCTAGAGGATCCTGGGACAACAGTGCCCCCAGGAGCTGTGTAGCCAACATACAAGAACCAAGATTCACCCACTGCCCACAGGCAGCCCTCATGGCCTTCCCAGTTTCTGTGTCCACAGTGATAAAAGACCCAGTGAGAAAGCCTGAGCCTGGTGGTCAGGCACTGAAGAGGCTGTTTGGTCACTTCCCGCTGGCTCTCTTCTGCACCACCACAGGCTCTGACAGTGCCTGTTGCTGAAGCCGCTCAATCAGCTCCTCCACGTAGATCTTGAAGAGGGGGACAGGGTCCTGAAGGGAGAGGGTCCTAGTGAGGCTCACAGTGCCCAATAGCAGCTGGGGCTCCAGGGAAAATGGGGACCAGCTGGTATTGGTCAGACATCTCAGCAAAGGGGGCAGAGTAGGACCTGGGCCCCTCAGCCTTGGGCATGAGACTGGTCACCAGGTTTGTCAACCTGGAAGGCAAAGCCGGTCCACAAGGTGAGGCCTCCCCTTTCTTGGGGACACAGATGCCATGTGCCTGCCTCTAGCTTCTTGTCTTTTTTTGTGGTTGTATTTTTTCCGGTACCAAGAATTAAACTCACGACCTCGCGCTTGCCAGGCAGGCGCTGTGTCGCTGAGCTAAATCCTCAGCACCCCCTAGCTTCTCTGTGGTTACAGATAAACTGAGCAGACAGAATAGAAGCAGCCAACTGCTATGCCACAGGTAGGCTCCCTTCCCTAGCAGCTACTGGCTCCAAACCCTTCTAGAGAATAAGACACAAAAGAAAGACCCTGGGGATTCCAGGCAGCCAAGTAAACAGAGTCAAAAATCTTGCTCTACTGCCAAGTATGGTGGTACACACCTATAATTCCAGCATTCAGGAGACTGAGGCAGGAGGATCACTGTGACTTTGAGGCTAGCAGGGCTACACAGTGAGTTTAAGGCCACACTGAATTACATAGCAAGACTTTGTCTCAAAGAAAGAAAAAAAGAATCTTGCTCTTTCCCCTGAAAGTCTAGGGACAGGAGACAGAAGGAACCTTATCCAGGTAGGTATGGGGCTGCATGCACAGCAGCAGATACAGATGCTTCAGCGGGTATGACACCTGCTTATCCAGGCTCTCTACCTACCCCTAGAAAGGCAGCAACAGCTGGCACGCACAAATGCTCACCTTCTCCTCCAGGAGCCTCTGCTTCTCCACAGCCTCCTCTAGTGTAAGGCCTACCCACTCAGCCTCCTCCTCTGGGATGACAAACTCCTGGGCAGGAAAACAGAAGGCACAGTGAGGCCAAGCCTCACCAGGCACCGTGGGCAGCACAGTGGACAGGGGAAGCCCTCACCTTGTACTTGTGGTAGATGGCCATCCTCTGCTCAGGGTTATCTGGGTGCAGCTGGGGGTCTTGCCGGGCAAGTCTCAGCAGCATTCCTCGCTTCAGGTCCATCCCAAACTTGGAGCATAGGTCCTCCTTCGGCGTCTGCAGGAGGTTCACTTGGGGCCAGGTGCTGATGGTAGGGCTCCACCCACCCTGCCAATCACCCCTCAGCTAGACCAGAGCAGCCCAGGCATGGTGGGCAACACCAGCACCCAGGTGGATCAGGACAGAGGATAAGCTCAGGAGTCAGAAGCAGGTGGCCATACTTATTCATACTCACTCAGCCACCAACCTGAGGGACTCCTGTGGGCAGAAAGCCCCACTGGGGTTGCTCAGAAAGGGGAATGATCTTATCTATGCTTTGCCAGTGACTCTCCAGACACAAGCTCCAATGTGGCACTGCTCTGCAGTACTGCTCTGGCCAATATGACTGACCACAGGACCCTCTCATACATTAGCCCCACTTGCCTTGAGGATATAGAAGTCAAACCCATAGGCCTCATCAATGAGATCGAGGGTCCGCATGGTTACAGTCACAGAGAACTTCTTGTCCAGGATTTCACTGTAGAGCTCACGCTGAAACAGCTGTGGCTTCCACACCTTCTTCACCCTGTTTGAGAGCTAAGAGCACAACACAAATCCCATGAGTTCTACCCTATCTCACTACAGATGGTGCAGGGCCCAAAGCATCTTTCTGGCGGGGCCAGGCTGGTGGGGACTCCAGTGCCTTCACCCTTTCAGGAAAAAGGTAGCCTGGGAGGCCTCAAAAATACAAGTCTCCTCATATAAGGCTCAGACTCTCACCATAAGCAAACATGAGGTGCAGGTTCTGCTCCTTCTAAACTGTTTTTAAGTCTTTTTTTTTTTTTCTTTTTTTCTGAGACTGGGTCTCACTATGGAGTTCAAACTGGTCTTGAGCTCACTTTGTAGCCTAGGCTGGTCTCGAACTCGCAACAATCCTCCTGCCTCAGCCTCCCGAGTGCTGGGATTACAGGCATGCACCACCACGCCCAGCTTAAGTCTGTTTTCTGAATTTTTTCTTTTTTTTCTTTTGAGACAGGGTCTCACTATGTAGCTCAAGTTGGCCTTGAACTTTGCTGATGCTGCTGCCTCAGCCTCCCCAGTGCAGGGATTACAGGTGTGCATCACCATGCCCAGCAGTCTTCCTGATTCTAATAAGGACCAAAGTGGGCACCCTGTCACAAGACACTTCAGCTACATCAAGCTGGTAGGTGAGCACCGACCTCACCTCACCCGCTCCTCAGCTCGAAAGTCTCACCCTAGCTTTACTTTTTGACTGCTACAGCCGTCCTTCCCACGCCTTTGCCTGTGCTGTTTCCCCAGAGGCTGGGCCACCCCATTTTAGAATACCTCTGGTTTTGCCTGTGAAGTTTACCAGATCTGTACCGCTTCACTTGTTAGTATGCTCTTTCGGTACATCTGCGACCAGCAGACCAACAGCGAACAGGTCCGCACCCACCTTGTCGTTGTTGGCATATCTGTAGCCCAGGATCCAGCCCTCGCCACCCCAGAGCCCCTTCTGGGACTCCGGAGGATAGTAAATAGGGATGGGCACGTCTTCCACACGCTCCCGTTGCCCGTTCTTGGGGTTGATCTTGAACTTGGCCCCGTGAGGCCGGTAGTGGACGGGGGTAGGTGTCTGTGTGTCCTCCAGAGAGCGCAGGAAATGCGCCGGAAGGCGCGAGCAGATGCCTTCCTGGCGCTGCAGCCGCTTCCACAAGTGGACCGGGAACTTGTGCAGAGGCATTGCACAGCGCCGCTTCAGCTCTCACCTGAGGTTGGACCCAGAGATCTAGGCCGGCGGAACCGGAACTGTACCCGGTGCCCGGACCTCCGTTCGCCTGTGACTGGCTACCAGGCCTGCTCATCTACCTTCGTCCCGCCCCCTTTCCGGGCTTTAGGGACCATGGAGGACGTCTTGTGGAACTAATGGGTTCAAAACATCACTGGAAAAGTGCGGCCCAGGCATTTCCAGAGAGGACGGCGAAGGGTTGGATATCCTGAGTCCCTCCTCTCCCACCATCCCAGGAAAGAGCAGAAAAATGTAAAAACTAATCAGACATGAAAAAAACCAGTAGAGGGCTGGGGATGTAGCTCAGCGGCATAAGCGCTTGCTTGGCAAGCCTAAGGTCGTGAGTTCGATTCCCGGTACCAAAAAAAAAAAAAAAAAAAAGAAAAAATCAGTAGAATATTAAAATTCACCAATAACATAAAAATGCCTGCCAGGCATGGGGTGCACGTGTGTACTCTCAGTACTCTAGAGGCTGAGGCAGGAGGATCTCCGTGAGTTTGAGGCTAACCTGACCTACAGTTGGTTAAAGGTCAGCCCGCATTACCAAGCCAGTCTCTCAAAAAAAAAAAAAAACAAACCCGGGCGTCAAGGCGCATGCTTGTAATCCTCGAAGATTGCCATGAGTTCCAGGCCAGCCTGGACTACAAAGTGAGTTCAAGGTCAGAACTACATAGTGAGATCCTGTCTCCAAAAAAAAAAAAAAAAACAAAAAAAGTCTTAATGTCTGTGTTTTACGCCCTTCAAAAATAAAAAACCACCGTATGTACATTTACTCTTTCAGAGGCTGAAGAATGTTTTGGTGGCTAAGTGTGTATGGCTGGGGCTGTGGGAGGCTGGATGGTGGCCCTGGGCCTCAGCAGCACCAGCTTCCCAGCCCCTGGGGAAGATGGGCAGTCAGCCGGAGTCACCTGAGCCGGAAAGCTGAGCCAGCTCTCCAGAGGCACTTTTCTGAGTCTCATTTGGTCCAGTGCAGGGAGGGGGGGACAGCCACCACTTGGGCTCCTAAGACCTACTCAGAAGGATGCTTGCCAGGCAAGGGCCCAAGGAGCCTGGGGTTGCAGGGGTCAGGGGGAATCATACATTCGGAACAGTTGACCAGCCCCCTCCCCAGGAGGATTTTCCCAAGATGAGAGCAAGAGGGTAGGGCAAGGCCCTGTATCCTCCGGGGGGGCCATTCGTTACCGGTAACCTTGGTCTCTTCCACTGCAACTGCAGCAGCACGAGGTCCCCATGGGGGCACTCAGGCACACAGGATCAGGGATGCCAGGATCACTAGACTGCCAGTCTCAGGGACTCACGCCTCGTTGGCCCTGTGGGTCTCACATCACAATCTCACAGGGGAACAGGGCAATAGGAAACTTTTGCCTCCAGCCTCCAGCCTCTAATCACCTCCAGGCCAGCAGAGTGTAAGGCCCTGCTCACATATCTTGTCTGTGATCTCCAGGGGCCACTGCAAGAGCCACTGAGACGTGCTGAGGACCCTGTTGAGGATGTCAACAGCAGACAGCAGACATAGGGGAGTAGGTCCTGTGTGTTTGTGTGTTTGTGTATGTGTGCACTGGAGAGATGTTCTTTTCCTCTGGAGGAGGAAGCAAAGAGTCTCAGGGCAATTTTATTCAGTTGGAAACCAATCTAGGCAGGGCTGGACGGGGCTGCTCTTCCTTGGTCCTACTCCTGGCTGAAGAAGTTATCAGTAGCAGATGTCCTGGAGCTGGCCAAATCACGTCACAGTGTATAGCTCATCCCGGTCGTTCTTGCAGATTTGATAGTGGCAGGGCAACTTCTGTGAGCAAGACCAGGGCTCAGCCTGCTCATCCTGTGGTGGTAGCAGTAAGGCTGCGCTCCCAGCCAGGAGTACGTGCCAGATACTGTGTGCATAGTAATAGTTGTCGCTGGTCGTCAGAGATGTATAGATGGTGATGCCCATAGAAGCCATAGCGATGCCAGGCAGGAGATAGAAGACCCAACGCTGCCACGAGGTGGGATAACATTGGCGCCGGTGCCCACAGCGGTACACCTGAAGCAAATAGCCATGCTAGTGTTGGTGCACGTAGGGGTTATAAAGAGCCTGCCCAGATCTGGGCAGCAGGTTTTTTTTGGAGGGGGCTACCAGGAATCAAACTCAGGACCTTGTGCTTGCCAGGCAGGTGCTTGTGCCACTGAGCTATATCCCCAGCAAGGTCTGGGCAGCAGAACCATGAAGATGGATAACTTGCAGAGGACACCAGGGCATAATAAGGCCACTGGTCCTCAGACCCAGACCTTTGGCATGTCTGGGTCTCTAGGGGTGGGGTGGTGGGAGGGACAACTCCAGCAGCTCTCAGCAGATGTGGGGCTTTGAGGCCCCAGACCTGCTGACTGAAGGGGCCTTCTCCCAGAGTCTGAACACGAACACACCTGCCTGCCCAAGTCCTTACCCACATGGAAGCCATGATCACGAAGGCAAAGAGGCAGGGCCCCAACAGGTTCCAGATGCCCCTGCGATTCAGCTGCAAGGACATGGCGATGACCAGCGTGCCCAGGAGAAACAGGACCTAGAGAAGACACAGGGATGACTCTGGGGTCATAAGAGTTTTGGATTAGGGTCACCTGTGGCAGCACAAGACCCGCTAGAAACAAGCAGTATGACTTGGTCATACTGGTCATCCTGCCATACCTCACAACCTCTCAAAAGCTCTGTTCACCTCTTTTGGAGCTGATGGCAGAACTGGCCTTACTCTGCTGGCTGGGAGAAAACTGCCCCCTCTTTTGGGTCTTGCATGGCATCCACAGGTAAATGCAGCTTTGACATGTTTTTATTTTTATTATTATTATTATTTTTTGTCTTTTTGAGACAGGGTCTCATTATGCAGTTTAGGCTGGCCTTGAGCTCACTTTGTAGCCCAGGCTGGTCTTGAACTCGCAACGATCCTCCTGCCTCAGCCTCCCAAGTGCTAGGATTACAGGCGTGTGCCATCACACCTAGCTTTATTTTTAATTATTATTAATATTATTATTATAAGAGGGTAAGACAGGGTCTCACTATGTAGTTCAGGCTGGTCTTAAACTCAGTATGTAACCCAGACTGGCTTGCAACTCAATCCTCCTATCTCAGTCTCCCAAGTACTAGGATTATAGCCATGTCCCACCACATCCAGTGGCCTTCACATTTCTAAGGCACAGACTTGGCCAGCCAGACACCCTGGGGACAAGGAGATGGTGCTTCTTCCTAAGGCTAGACACAAACTGGACAGCTTCAAATGGCAACTTTATGCCCACACATTCCCCTGCCCCTGTACCCCTGGGTTTGTAGAGTCTCCCATCAGGATAGCCTCAGTTTCCCTCGATTCATGGCCCCATATTCACTCCAGCTGGATCCCAATACCTTGTCCTCCCCCACCCATGTTCCCTGACCATGGGGTTCTCATGGATGTCCCTCAGGGCAGCTCCAGACCTGCAGTTCTCAGAGCAGAAACAGAGAACACAGAGTTCACAGGCACCAGAGATGTGTCTCCATTGGCCAGGCCCAGCTGCAGCAAAACATCCCGTGTTCTGACACCAAAGAACCCCATAGCATGACTGGCTTTCTCAGGGAGGCACGGCCTGGTGTGGGCTCCTATCTGCACAGACCTTGAGCTGGAAGATCTTTTTTTTTTTTTTTTAAATAGGGTCTGCTACATAGTTCAGGGTGCTCTTGAACTCACTACATATTCCATTCTGGCCTTGAATTTGTAGTGATGCTCCTGCCTCACCCTCCCAAGTGCTGGGTTACAGGGATGTGCCACCACACCTGGCCAGAGCTAGGAGGTCTTGCAAAAAACCCTGCCTACTACCTTCCATCCTGGTGTCTTCTGTAGCTGGCACTTTTCCCTAGCAGGTCCCTGCAACTTCTTAGGAGGGTGACTGATCACTAGGTGAGACTTGAACCCAAAGCTTTTTCTGTCTTCTCCCTCCTACTGCTTACATGTGCCATGTCAGAGGGCCTTTCCTCCCCCATAACCCAGTCCCCACATCAGAGGTCACTCACATGTTTCAGAACTGTCTTCAGTCGGGCCATGGAGAGGATGGTAACCCAGGCAGACACCCCAGAACCCAGAAAGTCACAGTATTGGAGTGTATCATAGCTGAGGATGCACAGTACAGCTTCTCCTGGCTGGTCACAGGCATGGTAGAACTGCAAGATGGGGCAGTAAGCAGCATCATGGACCTCCTCCCAACCCTAGGGAACCCCAAGATGTGAGTTGGTCCTACCGTGGAGAAGAACATGGTGTAGAGGTAGACGGAGGCCTCCATCAGGAAGGCACGGTGCACAGATACAGCAATGGGAGCCAGGAACATGAGGTTGCTGAGGGTGAGCAGAAGGGTAGCCACCCTCTGCTGGGCCACTGTCTGGGCTGTACTGTTGTCGGTGCAGCTCCACCCACGCCAGCCTGGAGGGCACAGAACACCCAGGGGCCTGGGGTAGGCAGCTGGAGCCAAGGTCCTAATGGGGGGCTTCTGAACTTTGGGTCCTCTCCGTCATCCAGGAGCAGGCTGGGTAGATGTAGAGGTAAGTATGGGACAAGTATAGACAAGTGTTGACAGGTATGGTAGGTGGGGACAGGTATAGACAAAAATAAGACATAGACAGGTGTGGGCAGATATGCGTAGGTATGGGCAATTTGGACATGTATGAACAGTTATGTACATGTATAGGCAGACGTGGGCATGCAGACACGATGGTCAGCAGGTGGCATGGGAGGCCAAGGTCAGGAAGCAGTACTACCCTGGAGATAGTGCAGCCTCTGTGCTTGGGCAGCAGATTATGGACGCATGGGAGGAGTGCCCTCCTCCCTATCTTGCTCTAAAAGGGTGCTCTCTACATCCCTGCTGGGCTTCTACAGGAAAAGGCACAGGATTGGGATGTTGATGGCAGAAGAGACTACATCTAGGTGTGCAGAGTTCCAGTTCTCACCTGCTTTGCAGTTGCAGCCCGCATACAGGTACCCATATCTTCGGAGCAGGAGGCACTGGCCATAGGGTCCACAATCATTCAAACAAGGGACCAGGTGTATAGTGGTCTGCACACGAACCACGGCCTGATTACAGTCCCTGTAAGGGTGGGAGGCACAGTACAGCTGACTGCAGCCTCTGCTGGCCAATCTACTATCAGGGCTTTCTGCAGGCTTATGGACGCATGAACCCCAAACTGAGCACCCCAGGCAGGCTCTGAGAGCCCAGGATTCGATGACAGCCCAGAAGTGACCTTTCTCCTTACCAGGGCTGCTGTGGGAGGGTGACCAAGTACAGGAGAATCATTCCTGACATATGAATAACAACTGATCCCTCACTGCTAGCAGGAAAGCTCAGGCAGGCTATGGTCCTGAACACAATGATTTAGCCGGTTGTTGGTTGCTAGGACCTCATTGGTGGGCCCCAGGTTTACATACTCAGAACTCTCAGGGCACATGAGCTGCAGGGAGAGGTACCAGTTGTCCGTCTCTGGGTAAGGGATGGTGAGGTTGGTTGTGTTAGATGAGGCACTCAGAGACAAGGGGTAGCCCTGAAAAAAAGCTGCACAGAGCAGGAAGTCCTGTTAGCAAGACCAGAGGGCCTGGTCAGAGCCACTCTCCAGATACCACCTGCCTACCATACCTGTAGTACAGTTAAGTGAAGTATTGAAGTTCAGAAAGGGTGAAGCAGCATTCACGCAGGCCAGTACCAAGGTGTCATTTGTGATCTCAGTCTGGAAGGGGAAGCAATACACAGTTGGCCTCTTGGCCCCCAAGAGCCAGCATACCATCTGCCCTGCCTGTCAGCTGTCATGTCGGCTGCCTTTCTCCAGGGCTCCTGTGTGCACAGGGCTTACTTCAGGCCTGGGCACTTGACCCAAGCTGTCTCCACAGCCTGTTTCCTCAGGCACACTCCTAGGACCTGCTGACGAAGATAGGGCTGCCCTAGAGGTGCAGCTTCCTAACCTGTCACAGGGCCCTTATGCTGCCTACACCTGCTACCATCACTCTGTTGCCTGAATGGCTTCCCTGCCTTGGTATCCAGGCTAAAGTGTACAAAGTGCCCTGAGCCAAGCCCATGCCACTTGCAGATAGCCCTCTGGGTGCAAGGATACTACCTTGTTGGACCTCAGGGAGATAGTGAGGGAGCCCCCACTGTCCATGCCTGTATTGAGGCGGAGCCGCAGCACAGAGGGTTTGTCTGAGTACACCAAGACCCCATCCAAGGGCTGGAAGTGTACAGACAGAACATCCACATCCTCCCTCAAGACTGAGTAGCTCAGCAGGCAGAATGGGCCACTGCCCATCCCACCACTCCGGCTCAGGTCCTGGTTGGCAGGGCTTGGGGACAGCTGGCTTGCAGAGGCATCATAGCTCTGGTTTGTGCTGTTTTGAACAAGGCGCTGGAAGGTCATGCTCTGTGGCCAGCAGGCTGTCAAAAGGACAAACGGCTCAGCTGGAGGAAAGTCTTGGGGTCAAGAGAAGAGACAGAGTCACTCCCACCCACCTTCCTCCATGTAGCCCACCTGTGAGGGCAGCCTTAGCACTAAAGGCCACTGACACGTGGGGCCCTCCCAGGTTCTCAGCCATCACTTGCAGCCATTTCCTCCAGGGTGGTGAGGGCAGTAGCAGACGGCAGGACAGGATGGGGTCAGTGCAAGTCAGCACCTTCTGGAAGCTGTTTGGCAGGGTAGTCGCACCCACCGTGAGACGTACTGGGCAGCCCAGAGTCACATTGGATACACAGCCCTGTAGCTCCAGCCGAAGCTCCTGGGTGTACTCGGGAACAAAGATCCTGGGGCGAGGTGGTACAGCCTCGCTCAGGCTCTGTACTTCCTCTAATCCACCTGGGCAGGGCATCTGTTCCCATTTCCCAGTACAACTCCAAGGCACAAGACCAGGCTGGGGACAGTAGCACCACCCACTCCAAACTGGAAGGCTGAGGTCACAGGGCAGACCCAGTTCTCTTTTAGGACCCACTCACTTGAGGTAGCTGGGATGGGTGGCTAGGATCTGTGGAAGGGGTACATCAGGCTCCAGAATGGCGACCTCAACCACTCGCATAACCAGCATGTCAGGCTGGAAGATATAAGCACAGGAGGGACCAAAGCCCTAGGAAGACAACAAAATTCAAGGGTATCAGAGAATGCAGGGTACAGAGGTTAGGGAATAGGCTCAGGGGAACTGAGGCTCATCTAGGGTGGGGTGGCTAAGCCCAGGGCAAGGTCTACTTCAAAGACGGTGGACAATAGGTCACCCATGCACCAAGGAAACTGCTCCCATCCTGGAGGTCAACACCCCTCACCTTTACCTCGATCTTCTGAGAAGAGGGGGGCAGATGGGCGACTACAAACCAGTCCCCAGGGGCTGGGTGGGACACATTGACAGTCGTGTTGCCCAGCAGTATGGTACTCAGCAGTGCCCTGACATGGAAGGAGGGCTGCACCACGGTCTCATCAGGGAAGCTGGTGCCCAGTGGATTGATGACAGGAGGGGCGCCATAGTGGAAATGCCTGGAGGAGGGAGAGTTAGGCAGGAGCTGCAGTTAGGTAGAGGCCTTGGCCAGGCTGGGGTGCTGTAGGCAGGAGGCTTGCACTTACACGGTGATCTCTACATCAGTGCATGAGGAGCCACCATCCAAGGACATGTGTAGCTGCCAGTGCAACAGCACAGTGTCTGGGGGCACACGGAAGTGGAAGAGTCTGGCGCTGCCATACCAGCTGTAGAAGGACAGCTTCTGTGGGGCCTGTGAGAAATGTTCAGACACCAGCCTGGTTTCTGCAGGGAGAGAATGTTATCAGCCAGTGCAGGGCACCCTCCTGGGGGTGGGGCACAGACAGGGAAAACAAGGTGCCCAGAGAGAGGAAGTCAAGTCCTGGGGGTCATCCAGAGCACCTGTCAGGACAACTTTGATGTTAGCAAACATCTAACTTTCCCTGAGGAACATGCTCCTGATTAGAGACAAAGTCTCTGCTGTCCTCCAGCCCCTTGAGGTTGTCTGACAGCTGGAAATTTCCCCCTAGGCTTCATTCTTCTGCCTCCCCTCCCCCAGGACGCCAGCCCAAATGCCAGGTGCTTGGCCTCACACTGGGTGGATGGCCTCTAGCTATGTACAGGACACATGCCCAAGCTTGGTGGTAGAGGACAAAGCAAGGGCCCATAGCCCCTAACGAGGGCTCCCCATAGTACCAGGCCTTGTAGTAGCTCTCAGCCTCCACACCAGCCCTAGTGCCAGTCAGGCCTTGTGCCCATATGACCCTTCCCCCCTCTAGGCCCCAGTGTCCTCATGGGTAGCCTGAGGTGCATGTCTCTCTGAGGTTAATGAGTGGTAAAGTGCTTCCAGTGTTTGGTCTCATTCCGAGTGTCCCCCACCTAGGAAGCCTCCCTCTGGGAGAATGACTGGCCCACGCCCTCCCAGGGGAGAGGAAGGAGCCAGGTGAACAGCTGCCTCTCCTGCCAGCCTCGTGCCTCCTCCACAGAGGAACCCAGAGAAAAGATAATAGCCTGCTGGCAAAACTAGCAGCTTCAAAGAAACCTGGATGGGGGCTGGGCTCCACCCACAACAGGTTCCAAGTGCCTGCTGGCCACAAGATCTCACCTACCAGGTTGTGGCCTGACTCGGGAGCTTCTACAGGCCCTTGGGTGATACAGGGCCTACATGATAATATAAACAGAAAAAAAAAAAAGGAAGTTCTGGGAACTGAGCCAAGACAGCCTCCTACTCCTAGGACAGTGGGATCTTAACAGAGGCAGCTTACCAGATACACACCCAGGGGCAAGGAAAGGAGATCACCCTGTAAGCACAGCGCTCCTAAACTGCTAGAGACAAAGCAACCCCCCCACCCCCACTGGTCCCCCAGCCAACCTGAGGACACTTGGCGCCCAGGGCATGGCTATGATGATGTTTCAACAGATAACACAGGAGATAAGAAACCAGCCTAAGGTCCCAAACCCTACATGGCCTCTCGAAGCTTCCCAAGACTCCCACAATGTTATCTTGGTGAACAAATTTTAGGATGTTAGCAAGATGGTTAAGTCCCATTATCACATCAGGAAGTCCAGTCCCACACATCCCTGCCCACCCCACAACCCAGGAACACAGGTTGGGTATGGAGGGGAAATGGAAAGTCCTAGGAGCTTGAGTTCTGGCTCCCTCCCTACCTCACACCTTCCAAACCAGGACAGATGTCTGCTGGACACCCTGCCAACCCAAAGATCCCAGCTAGGGCCACAGAGCTGCTTGCCTTCTCCTCAGCAGCCAAGGACTGAGAGGTTAGCCTAGCCCATGAGGCCCCCACCCAGCCTGACAAGGGTGTTCCATACACATCTTGCTCACCAGTGACCTCCCACCCAGTCCTGACCCCAGGGAGAAAAAGGAGAAATAGGGTGTCTTTGTCCAATGGAACAATTTAATCAGGAGCATGTTCCTCAGGGAAAACTGCCTTTCATTTCAAGTGGTGCCAAGCTCACAAACCAGGAGGCTAGAACCTTCAAAAGAAATAGGAGCTTGGCAGCAGGGAGTGGTGGTGCACACCTGTAATCCCAGCACTCAGGAGGCTGAGGCAGGAAGATCATTGTGAGTTTGAGACTAGCCTGGGCTAAAAAGTGAGCTCAAGGCCAGCCTGAACTGCACAGTGAGACTCCGTCCCAAAAAGACAAAAAAAAAGAAAAAAGAAATAGGAGCTTGGAGGAGCAATATTTCAGAGAAAGCCTGGAGCAGGGAAAGGAAAGGGAGTCAGCCCAGAAGCACTGGATGAGCTGCTTTGTGGGGGGGGCGGGGGGTGCCGCATGGTGGCCAGGAACATGGGGACCCTTGAGGCCAGCTTGCACACCCCAGGGAGTTCCAGGCCACAGGGGTGAGGGGAAGGCAGTCATGAGGCCCTGGCTGTTTGTATCCAGTCCTGATCCAAGCAGAACCTAGAGCGGTAGCACACCCTGGTCTAGCCCTCGGTCTCACGGGTCTTCAGTTAGAAGGGAACACTCAGGAAGCAGAAATGCAGAAGGAGGCAGGCAAGTTCTGCACCTGGTCCTCCCTGGCTGGTCTGCCTCCTCTGCCTCCAACAAGGCCAATGACACTGGACTGGGGGACACAGTGGGAGGTGTGCAAACATTCCCACGGTCCTCTGCTCTAGAGTCTAAGCAACTTTCTCCCTTGTCCACCACTCCACAAGAGCAAACTGAGGCCCCGGACGCCCACTGTCCCACTGCTCTTCCCAGCGGGCCAGCCAGCTAGGGTCTCAGGCTGAGTCTCTCCATTCCCCATCTGGCATGTGACAGTCAGCTCCCGACGCCAACACGCCGGGAAAAGGAGAGTGAGGAGCTCACGCTCCCAAGGGGCCAAGCTGGCCGGATCCGGCCGGGTGACGCAAGAGGAGGTGCAGATGCCGGTTCTGCCCAGGCGCTGCGTGGGGGCCACATGGGGGTCTCGGTCCCCGCCGGTGCCAGGTGAGCGCACAGGTGCCCCCAGGTGAGTCACAATGGGCCCCGCCCGGGCTCTCCCCTGCCGCCCGCGCCCCCCAATGGCCGGCGCCGAGGGCCCGCCCTCGCTCACCGGTCCTCCTGTTGTAGCCGGCGGTGGCGGGCAGGGGTTGCGCGAGCTGGAGCAGGAGCAGCAGCAGCGGCCCCGCCACCGCT